ACCCTAACACATCATTCGCACAACTTAGTCACCCACATCACCAATCTCACATTCACTAACCTACACCACCCCCACAGCTTCAAGCCCACACAGCCCCACTCCCACAATCCCATACCCACATTTTACCCATGCTTTTGCAGCCCACACACCCTAACATATTCACACACCTAGTCACACAGCCACCCACCACCCTCATCACTGTCCATGCAACCAACTACACACTCAGCTACCCAGTCACCCACTGTCTACACCAACACCCACATCAGGTCACCAACACTACCACCCAGCCTCCATCCTCCCACCCCTCTACTGCCCAGCATCCTTCACCTCCCAACACTAGCCTCCAGCTCTTGCCCCCCCACCCCTTCATTGTTTGGTCTACACCTTCCAAGCCAGCAGTCTTCTAATCCCTGCCCCCAGTCCTACATCCCCCCAAACTGCTCTAACCCCTCCTGTGTACATCCCAACCACTCTGACCCTCCTTTATAACCAGTATACAGTTGCAACAGGTGCGGCAACTGAACAATGAGACACCTCCATCTGCTAACAGAAATATGGATGCAGGATTTTGGACTGATATATGTCATTACACTGATCTGCAATTACCGTATTTTCCAGATTACAAGGCACACGACTGAAGTATCATAACAGTAAATCAGTAATCATTTTCAAGGGCTAATTACCCTCTTAATTTGCACTAAAGCATAACCCAAAGCCTACCCATGAGCATATAAGGAGCAGGGTGATTTTTCCAAGTTTGTGGGAAAAAGGCATGGAAAATATGGTACATTATTATCACTGTTTTACATAATTTCAAGATCTAAAAAAAATTTGGGTTACTTTTTTGTGGGATCTAAGGAATAAAACCCTATTCTTCCTATAATGTCTCAAGTTCATTTTGCATAATTTTTTTTATTACATGCCGTTTTCAAGACCGTAACTCCCATGCTAACCAATGGTCAAATGCTGTATATGCAAGATCTTTGTTGATATAACAATTGGTCAACATTTGAAAAAGCAATCCACAAAAAAAAGCACAAATTATGCAACTTGAAAAATGTTTGACAGTTTATTCAGTACATAAAAGAAACTAGTATCCTACTGGAATTTTATTGATATGCAAAAAAAACTTTTGATGCTGTTGACCACGATAATTCTATTTCTGTTAAATTACTGCAGATTCAGAGGGGACACATACATGTACTGTCAGCCATACCTTAGTAACAGATAATACTATGTAGTCTTCAATGACACTTTTTCCAGGAGACTACTTTAGCAATGAATTTAGATATGCCAATGTAGCATTTCTGACTCATTTCTTTTCTTAGTCTGTATCAGTAACCTTTCTAATGCCATCCAACATCAGAAACCTCAACTCTTTGCTGATGACACAACCATTATGAGGCACAAACTCCCTACAAGTAAACACCATGGGTAACGATCTAAAAGTGGTCTTTACACATTTGGAGGATTACCAATAAACTCACACTGAGAACAAACTATGCCCTCAATTAAATATGTACTAAAATTGATGAAACCGAAGTAGAGAAAAGACGGAGGAAAACGTCCAGGTCTAATCATGAACAATTTTAGATTTAACACTCACATCCCACAAACATATCAATGACTGTAGGGATATTTTCTAAAATTCACTATTATATTAAAAAATCTACACTACTAATATCTGACTTTTTCCTCATAAACCTATACCCTGTATATGGGATATGTGCTTGGGGATCATCTTTGGCAACTCATCTCAAATCAATCACCCAACAAGAGACAGCTAGTGTCCCATGGCTCAGTTTGCAGTGCTTTCACCTCATGCACAGAATCTCTGTGGTTCAACCCCAGTACATTCCTGCTCAATCCATGATGTCCCTGTTCACCTAGCTGTAAGTAGGTATCTGGGTGTTAGCCGACTGGTGTGTGTCGCATCAAGGGAAAAAAGATTAAAGAACCGCAATGAAAACAAAACACAGTCCTCAATGACACACTGGCTTTCTTGTGATATCCTGGGAGTCTTAACTCTCTGGGTTAAAAACCCTAACAAATCTTATCTTACCTAAACCTACAAAGCCCTAAACCCACAGAGTAAAAATGCCATTCATACATATACACTGTACTACTGCTCTCTTCACATCCTTAAACTACACTGTACAGTAATGACTCATGAAATCGTAATGACATGATTGTAAACAAACCATACCATGGGCCAAACCATACCCCGGCCGGGATTGAACCTGCGGGGTTAGAAGCCACAATCAGAGCCATAAAACTCCAGACCGACATGTTAGCCACTGGGCCAGCTAGCCACAATAAGATTCATTCAACTAGGTATATTTATATACCATAGGAAAAAATGTAACAGAACACAGCAGCATCAAACATAATTTTTATGCTTGCTTGAACATCTACAGAAATTTTATGCAAATTAATGGGAAAAAAACATGTAATAAGTTGTCATATTAATTAAAAAAAAAAGGTCTTTCTTAAAGAATTTAAATTAAAAGGTAAAAAATTTCAAATGTGTGCAAGTGGTTTGGACAAAAAACAGGCATGTGTGAACATGTTATAGAAACGAGTGATTGGAGACGAATAGTTTTTGGGGCCTGCCGAGCTGTTGGAGTTGGAGCCAGGTAATATTTTGTGATGTGATTTAGGGTAACCTGTTAACCACACTTAAGTCCAGAATGGAAGTTGGAAGTGCAATGCCTGTACTCTAAAGGAGGGGTTTGGGATATTTGCTGTTTAGTGACATTTGAACTGATACTGATTTTAATTTATATATATATGTATATATATATATATATATATATATATATATATATATTTTTATTTTTTATTATTATCATACCGGCCGATTCCCACCAAGGCAGGGTGGCCCGAAAAAGAAAAACTTTCACCATCATTCACTCCATCACTGTCTTGCCAGAAGGGTGCTTTACACTACAGTTTTTAAACTGCAACATTAACACCCCTCCTTCAGAGTGCAGGCACTGTACTTCCCATCTCCAGGACTCAAGTCCGGCCTGCCGGTTTCCCTGAATCCCTTCATAAATGTTACTTTGCTCACACTCCAACAGCACGTCAAGTATTAAAAACCATTTGTCTCCATTCACTCCTATCAAACACGCTCACGCATGCCTGCTGGAAGTCCAAGCCCCTCGCACACAAAACCTCCTTTACCCCCTCCCTCCAACCCTTCCTAGGCCGACCCCTACCCCGCCTTCCTTCCACTACAGACTGATACACTCTTGAAGTCATTCTGTTTCGCTCCATTCTCTCTACATGTCCGAACCACCTCAACAACCCTTCCTCAGCCCTCTGGACAACAGTTTTGGTAATCCCGCACCTCCTCCTAACTTCCAAACTACGAATTCTCTGCATTATATTCACACCACACATTGCCCTCAGACATGACATCTCCACTGCCTCCAGCCTTCTCCTCGCTGCAACATTCATCACCCACGCTTCACACCCATATAAGAGCGTTGGTAAAACTATACTCTCATACATTCCCCTCTTTGCCTCCAAGGACAAAGTTCTTTGTCTCCACAGACTCCTAAGTGCACCACTCACTCTTTTTCCCTCATCAATTCTATGATTCACCTCATCTTTCATAGACCCATCCGCTGACACGTCCACTCCCAAATATCTGAATACGTTCACCTCCTCCATACTCTCTCCCTCCAATCTGATATTCAATCTTTCATCACCTAATCTTTTTGTTATCCTCATAACCTTACTCTTTCCTGTATTCACCTTTAATTTTCTTCTTTTGCACACCCTACCAAATTCATCCACCAATCTCTGCAACTTCTCTTCAGAATCTCCCAAGAGCACAGTGTCATCGGCAAAGAGCAGCTGTGACAACTCCCACTTTGTGTGTGATTCTTTATCTTTTAACTCCACGCCTCTTGCCAAGACCCTCGCATTTACTTCTCTTACAACCCATCTATAAATATATTAAACAACCACGGTGACATCACACATCCTTGTCTAAGGCCTACTTTTACTGGGAAAAAATTTCCCTCTTTCCTACATACTCTAACTTGAGCCTCACTATCCTCGTAAAAACTCTTCACTGCTTTCAGTAACCTACCTCCTACACCATACACTTGCAACATCTGCCACATTGCCCCCCTATCCACCCTGTCATACGCCTTTTCCAAATCCATAAATGCCACAAAGACCTCTTTAGCCTTATCTAAATACTGTTCACTTATATGTTTCACTGTAAACACCTGGTCCACACACCCCCTACCTTTCCTAAAGCCTCCTTGTTCATCTGCTATCCTATTCTCCGTCTTACTCTTAATTCTTTCAATTATAACTCTACCATACATATATATATATATATATATATATATATATATATATATATATATATAATATATATATATATATATATATATATATATATATATATATATACACATATGTGTGCTTCAAATTATTATAATCATGGAGGAGCACTAAACCCGCAGGATTAAACAGCGCATCTGGGGAGGATGGAAGGTATTCAGCTTCAATTCAGGGGACTAGAGCACAGATCCAATTCCCTAGATCAAGAGCCCCTCACCAGCATCAAGGAATCTCCCTTGAGGGGCCTGTGCTTCAAAATACATTCATTTACACGTTGGGTATTACCGTGTTCTACATACGTACATAACATAAAAGCTCTAGACAACAGAACGAAAAATCTTAACAAAGAATCTAGTGATCCTATACAGAACATAATACAGCTCGAGGAAAAACATCAGGTGTTATCACCAATGACTTTAAAAACGACACTTGATTACTAAATGATAAAACATAATAGACAGTAATGACCTACGAGTATACAAACTTATTCGAAATCAGTAGAGGTACATGGACCATTTTTATTCCCTATTTCAAGCTCGATTTCTGTACTAGAGGACCCTTGAGTCTAACACCCAATGTACCACTCTACATAACAACAACACACAATATTTCTAAAACAATCACTCAAAGGATACAGTTTGATGACATCAGTATCCATGCGACGTTTTCCTGCACTAGGTGACGACATTTTGGTGGGTGCTGAAGGGCCAAGAAGCCCTAAATCCAAGCCAAATAGCGAGCTTCACCTAGTACGACTCAACACAACATACAATGGCGACCTTCTGAGATCTAATGACGTCACACTCGACTAAAAATCCTAACTTCTTGCTCAGACAAAGACAACTTCTTATAACAGCAACCTTTGTTGTATTGTCTGGGTCGCAAGATACGGCATATATTTATCTTTACATTTAGGTATTTAATTTGATGAAAAATGGGAATAGAAAATCAAGAAGTTAACACATTTTCTGTTGTTCTTAAACACATCGATCAGTTGTCGTACGTCGCCATCTCTTAGGCTCCACCCACTTAACTTCTCGTACAGCACACAAAAACTTTCACATTGCATTGACTTAATTATAAAAACATTATCAGTAAGAAAACCTGGGTACAGTAAGGCTATATTTATAATCAGAGGAGTAAAATGAGTCGTTTATGCGAGATATTAGAGGAAGATAAATGTGAGTCTGGACAAGCCCCGCCCCCTTATGGTCACGTGACCAGGATCAGCTGGGCAGTGTAAACAAATCTGGCGTGGTCTTGTTATGGCCCGTTTTCTCTCTCAAATCATCAGCAAATTCTAATATAGAATGTAATTTATGAAATAAATAAGTTCCTTTGGGGAAAGCGGCTTCCGACCTTCCCTCAGCAGATTTGGACCCTATTGCCTTCTTAGATACTGGTAGAAAGAGCTCAATACATCTAAGCTGTGTCGGTCCTACAACTTAAATAAGTAACTTGATTATTTTCGAAGACTTAAGCGTCAGTGTTGATCGAGTGCAGACATTTTACTCTGTGGGTCCTGATCATCGGTGACAAATTTCTTTATTCTCTGCCAGGATTGCTTGTCATCACACACAACCAGCTGGGCAATTGGACTGGGGCGCCAGACATTAGCTCCTTTTTCGGCTCTCCGGATTTCTATGGCCTGAAAAAAGTCTGTTGCCGACTCATGATTATGACCGTCTGGCTGTGTAGATATAAGGTCCATTTGACCTAACTTCTATTCTCGAACGGAGCTCTCCACACTGTCGATTGATATTCATATTATTTCAGACTATGAAACAGAACTCTTCTCCAGGCTGAGGGACTGACAACCTCAAATCTACGTCTTCAAGATAAGATAAGATAAGATTTCGTTCGGATTTTTAACCCCGGAGGGTTAGCCACCCAGGATAACCCAAGAAAGTCAGTGCGTCATCGAGGACTGTCTAATTTATTTCCATTGGGGTCCTTAATCTTGTCCCCCAGGATGCGACCCACACCAGTCGACTAACACCCAGGTACCTATTTGCTGCTAGGTGAACAGGACAATAGGTGTAAGGAAACGTGTCGGAATTTCCACCCGCCGGGAATCGAACCCGGGCCCTCCGTGTGTGAAGCGGGAGCTTTAGCCACCAGACCACCGGGCCACACAAGGATGATGGACTGATTTCATCGTCTTCACCTCTCTACTGTTCCTGCCTACTTTCTGTACTCGTTTGTAGGTAAGACACATAGGCAACATTTAGGCAACTGTATTCTGAAACGTTTCGCCTACACAGTAGGCTTCTTCAGTCGAGTACAGAAAGTAGGCAGGAGCAGTAGAGATGTGAAGACGATATAATCAATCCAACCTCAAATCTACGACTTCAAGGGTGATGGACTGATTACATCGCCTTCACATCTCTACTGCTCCTGCCTACTGTCTGTATTCGACTGAAGCAGCCTACTGTGTAGGCGAAACGTTTCGGAATAAAGTTGCCTAAATGTTGCCTGTGTCTTACCTACAAACCTGTCGGTATTGTATACCATTTTGATATTCACTCTTTCTGTACTCAACTGAAGAAGCCTACTGTGTAGGCGAAACGTTTCGAAAAAAAGATGTCTAACGGTTGCCTATGTGTCTTACCAACCTGTCGGTATTGTATACCATTTTGATATTCAAGCATATCTTACCCGACACGGACACTATATACAGTACGAGCACCTTTCAGCTCTTTTGAGCGATTGATAAACTACAGTAATTAACACATTTTACTATGTGTAACTTTGTGTAACTATAAATAAACTTAAATAAAAACTAGGAAGCTCAATATATATATCATAAGCTTTCGTGAACCTCAAAACCCACTCGCCAACAAGAGTAATTATTGTAACACACACTACTGCACCAGCTCTGGTGATGTGTGGACGTTACTCTCGCTCTCTTGCCTGAGTATTATGTACAGGATTCCCATTTTATACATCAAGGACGTTTGTTTTCATCTGTTGCCTTCTGCTGAGAAATGATCAACTCCTAGGACTAGGAAATGCCTGAGGTTCTGGCTCAGGGGAGTTGTGGTTAGTAAGTTTTAGATAAGGGTTTTAGTCATATGATGACCCGCAGCTCACCGGTCCTCCCCTTTAAGAATTATGGCTGAGTATAGTCCCTCAAGGGAGGTTCCTTGATGCTGGTGAGGGGCTCTTGATCTAGGGAATCTGATCTGTGCTCCAGTTCCCTGAATTAAACCTGAATACCTTCCACAGGCGCTGTATAATCCTACGGGTTTACCGCTTCCTCTTGATTATAATAAATCGGTTCCCTGAATTAAGCCTGAATACCTTCCACATTCCCCCACAGGCGCTGCATAATCCTACTGGTTTAGCGCTCCCCTTTGATTATAATAGTAATCCCCTCCACATGCGCTGTATAATCCTATGGGTTTAGCGCTCCCCATGATTATAATATGAGTATAACCAATTATTGGTCAGTTTATGTAGGCACAGGTTCCATAAGTACAATTATCATACATAGTGACATGTGTAAATTACCTAGGATAGCCAAAAATAGTCAAAGTAACTTATTTCCATTGCGGGTCCCTGAATAAGTATATTCAGATATACACAAATACAGTTACATAGATTATCATACATAGGAGCATATATGTAGAGAACCTATGATAATCCAAAAAAGTCAGAGAGTGACTTATTTCCATTGGGATCCTTTATCTTCATCGTGGTTGCAGGGGTCTTCTTAATTTGTCTCTGCCAGTTGTTTAGGTATTAGGGTTCACCTGACCTAATTTTGACCTTACTGTTTCCTCTGGAGAAAACTTTCCTGTGTTATTCCAGTCCATATTTGGGCAATATGTAATTTCCCCTGACTCCTGGGACTCAAGGCTTAATAAGGCGTAAGCTTTGGTAGCCTTTAATAACCCCAACAACAACGAAGGCTGTGAATTTTATTCTGATTTTTAATTCGGAGTTTTTGCAGCAAAAGATAACCTATGAAAGCCAAGCAGACTGGCTTATTTCCACTGGGGTTCTTTAAACCGCGTCGTTAGTATTAAGAAGGCTTCGAATTATTAACCCCAAATGGAAATAAGTCACTGACTTAATTGGATTATCTTAAATAATTTACTCCTGTTACTATATAAGGAACCCCAATGGAAATAATTAACATTGATTATTCTTTTGGGTAATCTTAAATTATTTGCACTGTTTGATAACCGTACTTATCACATTTGTGCCTGGGGATCAACAGCAGCAACCCACCTAAAGCCAATAATAACCCAAGAAAAAGCTTCAGTAAGAATTATAACTCAATCCAATACTAGAGAACCCCCTCCCCCCCACTCTTCAAAGACCTAAACTTGCTCACTGTACAAAACATTCACACCTACTACTGTGCAACCTACATTTACAGACCCATAAAAATCTAATATGAGGCCTGAGCTAAAACATTTTCTTGACACAACACCAGACACAAAATTCTCTTGAGACATTCCTCATTTCCCGCTAAATCTCTTCAAAAATCCGATGTACATAAAAGGGCCTAAAATCTAGAGCTCCCTCCCTAAAAACTCTAGAGCCACAGACTCAACCACCATATTCAAAACTACTGTTAAATAACATCTTATCTCCTTAACATACGCCATCATCAGTTAATAATGTGAAAAACCACTTTTCTCTTTTTGTGTTGTGAACACATGAAAACAGAATAGTCTTACTCTCCTTATCTGTAATTCCCCCTAATTTACACTTACACTCACCCAAATGACTGTAAACAAAATTCCTAATAGTATAGCTATTGCCTAATAAATGTTAAGTTAGTCCTAAGTTTGCCTGAGATACTCTAATAGAGGAGCTTTAATAGAAGCTGTGTATCATACCAAGACAAAACCATTCCCATTTCCAATCTTACTAATTGTAATATTGTTATATGTTTTGTACTACCTCATTATTATAAATTAATCACTGCAGTTACCTAACTTATATCAATATGCTCCATAACCTGTATAGCCCTTGTGGCTTAGCGCTTCTTTTTGATTATAATAATAATAATCCATAACCTGTGTCAATATAGAGTAAGAATTGGGATTAATCTGCCTGAGATGCCTAGCCATGCTAGTGGCCTTCTTAGTAATTAATATTTTATAATATGTAAACCACACATTGTAAGCATTGCAAGGAAATAAACATTTTAATTTTAATTAATTTAATTCAAAACTACATAAAATTACACTAATAACTTACTTAGCAACCCAGCATATCCCAGTAAAGCTAATCTTTTTTTTTTTTTTAGTCACAATCTTTCCCAGGATGCTACCCACAACTGTCAAGCGACTCCCAGGTGTTTATGTAATTAGAGAACGTAAGTACCCCTTGCCTCACACACTGAGTGTCTGTGGTTCTATTCCCAATGATGCCCACTTGCTGTTGCCTATTTGCCAGGCTTACTTTGACTGGAGATAATTTCTCCTTTTGTACCATGTTACTATTTTCTTCATCAGTCTCCTGTATGGAGATCTATCACAGGAGTTCATATACACAACACGATGTTCTTTTATCTGGTTTACCTCCTCGAATACCTTGGTGGAAGAAGTTAGTTAATTTGTAAGGCAAAAATGCCCCTTTTTAACACCACAATGGGTCATTGATTGGATTACAGTATGTATATCCATGGGGCATCAACCTCAGAATTTTCTACAGGTAAATTACAGGTAAATTCCATCACCTACCATAGCAAAAGACCATAATTATAAACTAAAGAGCTCTCAAAAGGATACTAGAAAGCTTTTCATTGTAAACAGAGGAGTGGATCAATGGAAAGGTTTATATGAGGAGGTAATAAGTGCCACAGTTATTGAAAACTTTAAAATTTTGACAGACTACATACTAAATATGGGGCACCATGAGCCAACTCTCTTGTAGATTTACGTAAGTAATCACATCTTTCTCTAGGCTTTTTCTTTATATATTCCTTTGACTTTAGATCTGTTTGAACTTAAAGTAATTTCTATGTAGTCGTCTATAATAAATGTATGTCTGTACTTTTCTATTTTTTCTAATCTTATTCTATAAGGTTATTGAGAGTTTGTCGTTACTTCTAGGTTTCATTCTTTTCTCATTGTATTTTTTCCTTAGTTATGTCACTTGTAATACTATTATCCTTACCAGACCTAGTGGGAGTTAATCAGACAATTTTCTTTTTATGATCTTGTGTACTGTAATTATTTCTTCATTATAGTACTCACAAAGAATATTTACTGTTTAGCTTTTTCTTTATTTTTTTAAATTGCTACATTAATAGCTGCCTTTTTTTCCTAGAGTTAAAGGTACCAGCCATCCACATAGTTTAATGAATTAACCACCCTTAGAGTTTTAAAAATTAGCAACTTTGAGCTACTGTAAGTAAGTACAAAGCACTAGAAATACAAAAGTCAAAGCTGATCTGAGTAATCCATCATTTAATTAAGATGCTGAAGATATTTACAATAGGAGAGATGCCTCTCTTTAGAATTCCACAGGGGCTTTTGCCTAGGGAAGGAAAATTTGAAATTGGTTTTATAATTGAGAGTGTGTGTGTATTTGGCTGGAAGCCAGTTTGTGAACACCTTGTTGTAGGTTATTTATAAGGTTAGGGTAGGTTACATAAATCTATAAAAATATATTTAACTGCAAAAAAGTAAATTAAAAATAAAGATACAACACATTTGACAGCACCACTCAGTATCTGTTTGTTTGCAGGTTACCTGAAGGTAATTTTGGTGGTCACTACTCCTGTGACCAGGTCCCAGACCTTGTCTTCCAGTTGATGATTTGAACAGCCAGGCTGCTGATGCTAGCTGCACACAGTATAAAGTATGCACCATCGCCTGGCTGATCAGGAAGATTTTAATCCTGAGGGTTAGTATGCAGGATAACCATGATGCAGCCCACAACACCTGGCTGACACCCAGGTACTTACTGCTAGGTGAACAGGGGCAACATTTCCAATTGTGCTGGGATTGAACCCAGGTATTTCAGATGAGAGCTGAAGGCTCTAACATAAGTCATGGGCCACTGACCAAATGGCCTTGGCACTTATAATTACACTGTGGTAAATGTTGTGTAATACATTTAAGTTGTGTAATACATTTAAGCTGTGAATACTACCAGTAAGAAATTTAGTAAAAATATATAATTATGCCCACATTATCCAACACCTTTGGATGTAATTATTATAATTAATATTTGCAACTGAATTTGATCTTTTTGATGGAGAGTATAAACATGAAATTAACCTTTTATAATTAAACTTTTTCAACACAACAGCCATTTTCCACAGGTAAGGTGACCCAAAGAAGGAAATGCATTCACCATCATTTATTCAATAGCTGTCTTGACAAAAATGTGTAGGCATCACAATTTGAATGACCCTCTGATCTGCAACATCCTCACCCCTCTTTCAGAGTGCAGACACCGTACTTCCCACCCAGTTTCCCTAAATCCCTTCAAAAATATTACTTTGCTCACAATAATAGCATGTCAAGCCGTAAAAACCACCTGTCTTCACTCACTTTGATCTAACATGCTCTCACAGGCATGCTGTATGCTCAAGCTCTTAACATTCAAAACCTCTACTCATTCCTTCCAACCCTTTTCCAGGATGACCCCCTACCCCTTCTTCCATTTTCCTTTATAAACTGCAGTATACAGTAATGTGAAAATACACAAATAACTTGCACACAGAAAACAGCTTATCACGACATTTCGGTCACTAGCTAATACGTAGTCAGTTGGGTCAAAATGTTGTCATAAGTTTCTGCAATAATACACAGAAATCCTATGTGCAAGATATCTGTGTATTGTTGCAGCCACAATATTGTGCCTTTTTATTTTCCATAATGTGAAAATATATGCACCCTATTTTTTTTCCTTTGATAATTCTGTATCATAACCTAACTTTTGTTTGTAATATTTGATTTAGATCACCAGAGGATTTCTTAGTTATGTACAGTATAAATATTTTAACTACTTTAATCTGTCACTATCCTCCCCCTTCCTCCATTACATTAATTTTGTAGAAAGTAGGTCATCACAAGCAGATAAACCTAACAGTTAAGGATTTTTTTTTTTTTTTAAACCTAAGGTTACATTCACTTACCCTTGAGATCTTTATCACTGCCACTGTGAAATCTGTTGAATAATCTGTTTTGATGTATAGTATTTTAGCACACTAACTGTGGAAACTATGATGCTGCTCATAAGCAGGATTAGATGTAACTAATTAAACAACAGTATGGCCAAATTTTCCATAATACTGTACATATTTATATTGACTCTAATGTCCCCTGTACCTGCTGCTCATCTGATCTTCCTAAGAAGAGTTCTCCTATTTGTCCTAAAATATTTACTACAGGTGGATCCTCTGTAATTCAGAAGAATTCCTCTTGAGTCCCTGTGTCTTACAGATGAATTCAATTATTCATTTGCAGATTTTATCTATATTTCACAGAAAATTACTGGCCAAACTAGTGTAAAGTGTATCAAATACCTGGTCTGGAAGTGGCACCTGTTATATTGTAGTATATTGGAACCATGCAGCTGAAGATCATACTTCTGACTTTCATCACATTGGCACCAGGAGCATCTCACATTGGCTCCAGGAGCATCTCACATTGGCTCCAAGGGCATCTCACATTGGCTCCAGGGGCATTTCACATTGGCTCCAGGGGCATCTCACATTGGCTCCAGGGGCATCTCACATTGGCTCTAGGAGCATCTCACATTGGTTCCAGGAACATCTCACATTGGCCCCAGGGGCATCTCACATTGGCTCCAGGGGCATCTCACATTGGCTCCAGGGGCATCTCACATTGGCTCCAGGGGCATCTAACATTGACTCCAGGGGCATCTCATCTGTGAAAGATCAGAGGCACAATAATTCTTCTTCAGTAGCCTCAAATGACCACAACTTCAGATGTGGGTGGATTTTAAGGATTTTGACAGTAGTGATGATTGAACCAGCATTGCTGATGCAGCCACGAATGAGAGATCATGGTGCTTCGCCTTTGCTTTTCTTGCAGTGTGTATCAAGAGAATTGCCTATAGTACATTATTTTGATTATATCATTTATATTACCTTAAAATTTATTTAAATTAATTTATCAATTTGTTGATTTTTATTTTGTATATACAGTGGAGTTAAAAGATAAAGAATCACACACAAAGTGGGAGTTGTCACAGCTGCTCTTTGCTGATGACACTGTGCTCTTGGGAGATTCTGAAGAGAAGTTGCAGAGATTGGTGGATGAATTTGGTAGGGTGTGCAAAAGAAGAAAATTAAAGGTGAATACAGGAAAGAGTAAGGTTATGAGGATAACAAAAAGATTAGGTGATGAAAGATTGAATATCAGATTGGAGGGAGAGAGTATGGAGGAGGTGAACGTATTCAGATATTTGGGAGTGGACGTGTCAGCGGATGGGTCTATGAAAGATGAGGTGAATCATAGAATTGATGAGGGAAAAAGAGTGAGTGGTGCACTTAGGAGTCTGTGGAGACAAAGAACTTTGTCCTTGGAGGCAAAGAGGGGAATGTATGAGAGTATAGTTTTACCAACGCTCTTATATGGGTGTGAAGCGTGGGTGATGAATGTTGCAGCGAGGAGAAGGCTGGAGGCAGTGGAGATGTCATGTCTGAGGGCAATGTGTGGTGTGAATATAATGCAGAGAATTCGTAGTTTGGAAGTTAGGAGGAGGTGCGGGATTACCAAAACTGTTGTCCAGAGGGCTGAGGAAGGGTTGTTGAGGTGGTTCGGACATGTAGAGAGAATGGAGCGAAACAGAATGACTTCAAGAGTGTATCAGTCTGTAGTGGAAGGAAGGCGGGGTAGGGGTCGGCCTAGGAAAGGTTGGAGGGAGGGGGTAAAGGGGTTTTGTGTGCGAGGGGCTTGGACTTCCAGCAGGCATGCGTGAGCGTGTTTGATAGGAGTGAATGGAGACAAATGGTTTTTAATACTTGACGTGCTGTTGGAGTGTGAGCAAAGTAACATTTATGAAGGGATTCAGGGAAACCGGCAGGCCGGACTTGAGTCCTGGAGATGGGAAGTACAGTGCCTGCACTCTGAAGGAGGGGTGTTAATGTTGCAGTTTAAAAACTGTAGTGTAAAGCACCCTTCTGGCAAGACAGTGATGGAGTGAATGATAGTGAAAGTTTTTCTTTTTCGGGCCACCCTGCCTTGGTGGGAATCGGCCAGTGTGATAATAAAAAATAATAACAGTGGACCCTCACCTAACGAACGCATCGCATAACGTTAAAACCGCCTAGCCGAGGCAAAAATTTTGCCTCGGCGCTAAAAAACTCGCCCAACATGATTCATTCCGTTTGAGACCCGTCCACGTGTGGCCTGAGTGCGCCTCACTTGTCCCGTGGGTGCCACTGTTTACAAGTCAGCCACCGCAGTCGCATCCAAACATACAATCGGAACATTTCATATTATCACAGCGTTTTTAGTGATTGCACCTGCAAAATAAGTCACCATGGGCCCCAAGAAAGCTTCTAGTGTCAACCCTGTGATAAAAAGGGTGAGAATTAGTATGGAAATTAAGAAAGATTTTGAAGGGTTTGGGGCTAACCCTGAGATGCCTATGCCAGTTGTGGAATCCATTGTGCCTACTTCAAAGATTAAGGAAATGTGTGCAAAGTGGGTTGAACTGCAAACCTTTATGGATGAAAATCGCCCTAACACAGCTATTGCAAGCTGTGCTGGTGACTATTACAATGACAATGTTATGGCCCATTTTAGACAAATCTTAAAGGAACGGGAGGTACAGAGCTCTATGGACAGATATGCTGTGCGACAGAGGTCCAGTGACTCTCAAGCTGGTTCTGGTGGCATTAAAAGAAGAAGGGAAGTAACCCCAGAAAAGGACTTGACACCTCAAGTCCTAATGGAAGGGGATTCCCCTTCTAAACATTACCACCATCCACACTCTCCCTTCCCATCCCATCAATCATCACCAAATCTTCAATAAAGGTAAGTGTCATGTAATTGTACATGTCTTCTTCAGTTTGTGTGTATTAAAATTAATATTTCATGTGGTAAAATTTTTTTTTTTCACTTTGGGGTGTCAGGAACGGATTAATTTGATTTCCATTATTTCTTATGGGGAAAATTAATTCGGCTAACGATAATTTCGCCTAATGTTGAGCTCTCAGGAATGGATTAATATCGTTAGGCGAGGGTCCACCGTATTGTGTGCTTAATTAAAAACAGTTTCATTATGTATTATGGATTTATGAATTGTGCTTTTTTTTAACTTTATCGTGATTAGCTCTCAGTGTATCAGACCACCGCTTTCCTTCAAATTCAGATTATTCATTACAAATCAAAAGTCAATAGTATGCAGATTATTGGAGAGGCAGACATTCATCCTGGAACATTTTTCTAGACTTTAATGTTTAATGCAAAACTGTCTTTCTAGACAGGTGACTGGAGATGGGAAGTACAGTGTCTGCACTCTGAAGGTGGGGTGTTAATGTTGCAGTTTTATAACTCTAGTGTAAGCATGCTTTTGGCAAGACAGTGATGGAGTGAATGATGAAAGTTTTTCTTTTTTGAGTCACCCTTCCTTGGTGGGAAACGGCCAATTTGTTCATGAAAAAATAATTAATAGTTTTAATTTACTGGCTTTTGCTATTTTTTTGTTTATTTTTTATGTCTCCTGACTTTCTTTACATTTAATAAATATACTACTACTACTACTGCTTAGCAAAATATATATACATACAATTTGGATTGGGGAAATATTTTCTACACTAGAAGCCTGGGAAAGTCAACTTAGTTAACTAAAATTGCCCCTCTTTTAACAGTCTATTCCAGTTGGCTCTTACTAGTGTGGCAATCCTTCAAGTAGGCCTTTCTTTGGATTATCTGATATTCCTGGATTTCTCTTGTAGGACTTCATGTCCTTTTATAATTTGGTCTGGATCTTCTAATTAAATATTGGCCATGTCTTCTTCTGGTGGAACATCCCCACTGGACTTTCCATAGTTCAGTTCAGAAGGCACTCCAGCACTGAATGACCCTTGTCAGTTTAGCACTTTCTTTGATTATAATAATAATCAGAATTCACTAATTTATTGTATGCAAACTTCTCACTCACTTTTACTTTACTGTCCTTATTACCCCACATCTCTCCTGGCATAGATCTGTAATAGGACTCTGAGGCCATGTTGCTCTAGAACAGTCATCATGAATAACTGTATCATCTTGTGTTATCAAATTTTGGTTGAGGGATGATGTTACACCATAATAGTGTTCTCTCAGACTCATGAGGTAGTCTTCATTCCAAACTTAAGATCATCTGTTAATAATTTTATTAAATTGCCTAAAACAATTGACAGTCTGCATCATTATAACCACAATCGTCAATTTCCCTACTTTCAATTGTGTGAGGAAAAGGTTCAGGTCATCTACCACAAATCAGATGTGAAGGACTGAGCACTTTTAAGTTTTCAAATTGATCATTCACATGCATTATACATGCATCATTTATTATGTTTTCTGTCTTAGTTATTACTATACTAAATTTGTGGTAATCAACATTTTGATCAAATACTTTTTATTTGAGACATTTTCACTATTGTACCATATGCTTATACAGTACAAGCCACATTTCCATGATGCTCTGGGCATGATGAATTTTCACTTACCCTTGGCATTGTTTCAACATACTGCAGCTTAATGGGTCACTCGTACAATTATATCAGAGAAAAGACAAGATATATACATACTTCTACTGGTATCTTGTCAGGTGTCTTGGTCAAGATGATAAGGCTTGAGTAATTAACTCTAGTGACCTCACATGATTCATTATGCTCAACTAAATTAATGAACCTTGTAACATTGATGAAGTTCTTCAGTGTTGAGTGCAAACAATAATGGTTAATGGTAGACTAGTGGTACACCATGCCTGATTATATTTAGTATTGGGTCTGGAGGTATGTTAACATTTGCTCTGGCCAACAATTGTTACCCATTCTAATGCATCTGATGCTCCTGAAACCTGAGTTGCAGAAATGCAACTATTTATTGCTGTATCATTTTGGATACTGTACCGAAGGCAGGAGCCAAGATTACATGCACCCTGATACTCTCTAATTTATCTTGTAACATGTTTGACGGAACTTGCAACTAGGTCTTTTATACTTTCTTTACTTGACCAGTGAACTGTCCACAGAATGGCACATCCCCTCCCCCTCAAGGGAGGTTCCTTGACACTAGTGACGGGGAGTCTTGATCTAGGGATTTGGATTTGAGCTCCAGTTCCCTGAATCGAGCCTGAATGTCTTTCAGCCACTTCCCCACAGGTGCTGTATAATCCCTACAGGTTTAGCACTCTCCAATTATAATAATAATATAATGGCACATCTATTAATGAAAACAGCATCTGGCTTAGATGATGCATTGACTGACTGCTCAACTTGAAGTTTTTTCTTCCATATTGTCTTTTAATTTAGTAATTTGCATATCTCGGTCTTTCTATGTGAAACATAAAGGTTGGAACTGGCACTAGCTCACATCTCTTTATGTTCTTTACATTAACATCATGAGAGTTGATATATGCCATAACCCCTGCAAATATCAGTCTGGATTCACAAGAAACGGTGGGTGGTATTCAACATTTATTGAATCAGTACACTGTGATAGTCTTCCTCTGATGGTATTGCCTCTCATGTTTGTTATATTTTATCTGTGATGCTATCTCTTCCTTATGGGTAGTTATATTCTCAGAAGATGCATCCTTTAACTCCTGCATCTCCAACAGTCTACTACAGATTTGTGAACAGCCAAGGGGCAGCCAAAGGACAATCTTTTCATGTAGTGTTATTAAAGTGAGACCACCTGGACCATGTCCGTAGCACATGAATGTCTTCTTGATAAACGTGTCCATCCATATGCCTTTCCGGAGTCCTTGCTTGTGACATCAAACATGTTTTTCCCTCTATAAATCTCACCAAAGTTTCTCCACACAGCTTATGCATTGATATGGGATAAAGACCATATCCAGCATAATGAATGTGATTTAAAGCCAAGAAATAGGGCATTACTTCATTGACTGTCCACTAATGTAACGCTCACTTAGATATTTCATTGCTGATGTCGTCTAAAAGTTTATAAAATGCTGCTGGGGTGTTGACCCTCAGAGCACTCCAGACACTTAAAATCCTCGGTTAGATTGCTTTATTCTCCCAGCTATGAATCTTTCTTGAAAACAAGCATGGTACTAGGCATTTTCTTCATGCAAATCAGTAACAGTATCTTGTAATATTAACTGAACATGGTTTGACCACTCATTATTTTAGTTGCTACAGACTTGAGAATCAAATATTTGAAGGACACTCTATTTGCCATTCTGTTCAGCGCTTCCCCTTGATTATAATAATAATAATAATAATAATAATAATAATAATTGCAAAGGTTAGTGGATGAGTTTGGGAATGTGTGTAAAGGTAGAAAGTTGAAAGTGTACATAGAAAAGAGTAAGGTGATGAGGGTATCAAATGATTTAGATAAAGAAAAATTGGATATCAAATTGGGGAGGAGGAGTATGGAAGAAGTGAATGTTTTCAGATACTTGGGAGTTGACATGTCGGCGGATGGATTTATGAAGGATGAGGTTAATCATAGAATTGATGAGGGAAAAAAGGTGAGTGGTGCGTTGAGGTATATGTGGAGTCAAAAAACGTTATCTATGGAGGCAAAGAAGGGAATGTATGAAAGTATAGTAGTACCAACACTCTTATATGGGTGTGAAGCTTGGGTGGTAAATGCAGCAGCGAGGAGACGGTTGGAGGCAGTGGAGATGTCCTGTCTAAGGGCAATGTGTGGTGTAAATATTATGCAGAAAATTCAGAGTGTGGAAATTAGGAAAAGGTGTGGAGTTAATAAGAGTATTAGTCAGAGGGCAGAAGAGGGATTATTGAGGTGGTTTGGTCATTTAGAGAGAATGGATCAAAGTAGAATGACATGGAAAGCATATAAATCTATAGGGGAAGGAAGACGGGGTAGGGGTTGTCCTCGAAAGGGTTGGAGAGAGGGGGTAAAGGAGGTTTTGTGGGCAAGGGGCTTGGACTTCCAGCAAGCGTGCGTGAGCGTGTTAGATAGGAGTGAATGGAGACGAATGGTACTTGGGACCTGACGATCTGTTGGAGTGTGAGCAGGGTAATATTTAGTGAAGGGATTCAGGGAAACCGGTTATTTTCATATAGTCAGACTTGAGTCCTGGAAATGGGAAGTACAATGCCTGCACTTTAAAGGAGGGGTTTGGGATATTGGCAGTTTGGAGAGATATGTTGTGTATCTTTATATGTGTATGCTTCTAAACTGTTGTATTCTGAGCACCTCTGCAAAAACAGTGATAATGTGTGAGTGTGGTGAAAGTGTTGAATGATGATGAAAGTATTTTCTTTTTGGGGATTTTCTTTCTTTTTTGGGTCGCCCTGCCTCGGTGGGAGACGACCGACTTGTTGAAAAAAAAAAATAATAATAATAATACTTGCCATTCTACAAAGACACTGTATGCTGTTTGTCAAATGGAAGGATCATGTGGGTTATGTTCAAATGAGCATATTTTGCCACAGAATAGGCATTGAAATTTAAGGTCGAATAATTTAGCCTCAGAACAGTACAGCTATTTAGTGGTGAATATTCACTTTTTTTAACTTTTGTTTTACTCTCCTGGTCTACCACTTCATGAAGAAACACAGATTATGGGTATTTAATAGTAATGGTTTCATTTTCTTTCCAGCATTTTTTGTAGTTCTTCATGACTGTTACCTCCTAGGAGTTGTCTGACAGCAATAATGGTTCTGATGCAAGATGCTTTAGATGTAATCTGATTTTTATACTGAAGTATACTAGTATTTCACTTGAAGAACTCTGAGGTTATTTGCTTCTTTCTATAGGCATAGAAAATTTGATACTAAAATCTTCAGAACAAACTAAAACATTGAAATACTAGTACTATAAAGTCTTCCTCTACTTCTGAAAGGAGTGTAAATATAGGAACGTTAGTACTTTTATTAAAAAAATATTCATACTCGAATCAAAACACTGTCATTCCTTTACCACTGTATATACCTGATATATACAGTATGTACAGAGAACATACTGTATATACCAGTAGTGGAACCCCCCAATATCGGCTGCTGTGGTCATCGGCCGAATCGTATTTAGGCCGGTTTTTGGGCGGAAATTTTGCTCCGGATTTAGGCCAGTGCCTCGCAAATTGGCCGTATTATACGCGTTAGCCCGCCTCCCGCCAGGACACCATGCGTAAGTGAGTAAGTCTCTTTGTGTCTCTTGGTGAATGAGCATATACATGTACTTCCCACATTCATCCAAACATTTCCTTAAAATCCATTGGTTTTTGAGCTTGTTTATTAAGTGCGACTGTGAAATAAGCCACCATGGACCCAATGGAAGTTATGGAGAGAGGCAGAGAGTGTAGCAGGTAGGCAGGGAGTGTAGCAGGGATGCAGGGAGTGTAGCATGGAGGGAGGGAGTGTAGCAGGGAGACAGGGAGTGTAGCAGGGAAACAGGAAGTGTGGAAGGGAGGTAGGGAGTGTAGCAGGCAGGCAGGGAATGTAGCAGGCATGTACGGAGTGTAACAGGCATGCAGGGAGTGTAGCAGGCAGGGAGGGAGTGTAGCAGGCATGCAGGGAGTGTAGCAGGCAGGGAAGGAAGTAACCCCAGAGAGGGCTTTGATACCTGAAGTCCTTATGGAGGGGAACTCCCTTTCCATACAATAATCAGTCCTCTCTCTCTCTCTCTCTCCCTACCTCCCTGTCTTCCTTAAGCCAACAAGAGTCCTCAATAAAGGTATGTAATAGTGATTTAAATTTTCATTTATTTATTTTATTTAATTCTCATTGTTTTGTGTATGTAAAACTATAATTAATCTTAAAAAATCTATTTTTTTTATAATTTTGGGTGTCTGGAACGGATTAATTGTATTTACATTAATTCTTATGGAAAATATTGCTGTGAATTTAGGCTGACCTTCTGGAACGGATTATGGCTGATATTTGGGGTTCCACTGTATATGTATATATATATCTTTCTTTCAATGCACCAGCCATATCCCACCGAGGCAGAGTGGCCCAAAAAAGAAAAACAA